CTTGTCTCCGAGTCCCGATTTCTCACAGTAACTTCATTAGCTCTCATTAAAAGTTCCCGTAATCAGGAAAGTCCTGAATTTCCTAAACCGATGCTACTGTTAAAAACTACGGCAAAATCTTCGTCGGATTCTTAAATTATGGATGAGCGCTCAGGTCTGATTGGTGGATGAGCGTTAGGGCTGAATTATGGGTGAGCGCTAGCGCGGGAGTTTTAAATGAGCGTTGAGCCTTAATTACAAATGAACAGTAGTGCCAGAATTATGGACGGGCGTTAAGCCTTAATTATGAGTGGGCGTTAGCGTGGGAGTTACGGATGAGCGTTAGGGCGTGAATATTAATAAACGTTAGTCCAATAATTATTATGGTTTATGGTTAACTCGTGATTATGAATGGCTATAAGCACCGGAATTTCGGTCAGGCATAATTATTGATAGAAATTAGAATGAGTATCAATGTTCATTAATGGATGAGCGCATGCACGTTTAAAATTTACGGTAGACTTTTAAATCAATTGTTTTAACATTGCACGACTACGTCACTGATTGATTCGTAACATTCATGACGCTTGAAGAGCCCGTCGATTTCTACTTTCAATTATTGTTTTCAGCAATGAAAGGAAAGCATCATATATACTCCTGGAACTCCAAATTTCATCTAACCAAAGACCAATGCTCTCGATACAAATTCACGATCGATGCAATCATTATATAAATCATTATTATTCCTGATTTAGTATTTTCCAGCTGCCTTCAATGATCATCTCTAAATTAAAGTTAAAGTAGCCCACTTAATCTATTTTTTTTTATTCCGATTATTGTAGAACGCGGTGGTTTTTAACTGGTTCTCTACTTGCCATTTCATTTGTACTTATTTTCCTGCTAGAAGAAGAGAGAGCGAGAGCGTTTTCTCGACGGTCGCTTCTCTCTTAAACTTAGAACATGCAATTATGGTTAATGAGAGTCTGTTGGAGCTTCTAGTCGAAAACTTCGTCAGTATTTGCGGCAAGGTTTCTCTCAACAAAGCTTAACATGACATTTTATGCAGAACGACAAAAATATTACCTCTGACAGTGCGGTCCCTTGCAGGGCTAATTTCAACACATCGCCACCCTGAATAACAAAACGCTGGTCGAGGCATCGCATTTACGAATGTAGAGGAAGCGTTTTTAAAAATTGTCTTAATCAATAAAATTAGCGTGGGCTAATTATATTAGGATAAGTTCTTTTTCATCACTGGTATTTAATTCTTGCTAATTATATTCAGATTAATGGAAAAACATTTAGATCTGAAATTTTGTAATGTAATTCCAGATATTCCTTTCGCTCAATTTGTTTGAGTACGTCAAGGTACAAAGGAAAAAAAAGTATTCCTGCAAATATTTGCGTTACTGGAAGAAAACGAGAGAGTTTCTGATATGAAAAGGGCAAAGATTCGTTCGGACGATACACGTGAAAAGCAAACAACATTGGGACCTAGAAGCGAGGTCAAAGTAAAGATGGCGATCACTGCGGTGGCAATGACTGAGCACAGTTATTTTCTTCGGTTGCATTCGTCCTATTTTTATTCGGCTTGCCACAGATACGAAATTCGTCGCACAATTCTCGCAAAACTCTTCGTTTTTCCAGATGAATTTGGCCAGTTGGTTTGCTAGGGCATCGATTGCAGCGAATGTCGTCCTTTGCAAATAAAAGCCAGAGCAAAATATTTGCACGAGCTTATAGAGAGGAAACGGCGTGTTTCGTTCAGAGCCTCGCTTGTGAGTTTCAACCACGCGCGGTTCGCTTGAACTGAATAATAAAAATCTGGTTCATTATTATTTATCCCAGCGCTTAAAGTAGGAAAGTATTTTAAAAACTTTTTGGGATGATTAAAAACTGGTCTAAATTTATTCAATCTCATGCTTTATTCTATTTATTCTATTCTTCTATTTATTCTCACGCAAGAAGCAATTAAGACGGCACTAGCACAGCGTCTTAGTACTCGTATGTCTAAAACAAGTTTCATTATTATTCATTATTCATACATGAAGTTGACCAGTACCTGGGCCACGTCATATATTAAAAATGGCTCATACATAAATAAAAATTATTTATTCTATTTTTATTTTTACACTTAGTTGATTAGTATTTTTAAAAACCGGAAATGCTTGGGCAACATAGGTTTAGGTTTGAGTTTTTGTAAAATAAATTCGAAATCGGTCAGACTCATTGATATTGCGTACGGGAAAAGTTGTGAAAATATGATCGATCTTCAAAAATATATATGTTAATATATATACCGTAATGCTCATGTATAATATATACAAAGGAGTTACATAATTAATTTGTATCTCAATATTTAGACTATAATTAAAGGAAGCACAGTTAGAATTTGTTACTAGACTTATTCCTTTGTAAGTAAAGGAGGAATAACGATGAAGTGATCGAGGGGCTGGATTGAACAGAAGGAATAATTACAAATACGTTAACCAATGAAAACGAATGTCGATGCGATGATATATGAATGTGAATGCTATCTTCATTTGAATACTTATTTCTATATGCGTATTGACCTGACCATTGCTTCAGTTCGGTCAGTCATGATGTTATGAAACTAGGTCATTGTTTCAATTGGGCTGGCATTTGTGCGTTTCGAACTTGGTAGCTGTTTCCATTCGATAAACATTCAATAATTTCGAACGCTTCCTACAATATCATTCAGTGACTATTTTGAAACTTGTTCTCCATTTTCACTGGATACTATTCAAACATTTCACACATGACCTCCATTATCACTCATTAACCATTCAAACATTTCACACATGGCCTCCATTATCACTCATTAACCATTCGAACGTTTCACACATGGCCTCCATTATCACTCATTAACCATTCGAACGTGTCACACTTGACCTTTATTTTCACTCATTAACCATTCGAACGTTTCACACTAGACCTCCATTATCACTCATTAACCATTCGAACGTTTCACACATGGCCTCCATTATCACTCATTAACCATCCGAACGTTTCACACTTGACCTCCATTATCACTCATTAACCATTCGAACGTTTCACACTTGACCTTTATTTTCACTCATTGACTATTCGAACGTTTCATATTAGACTTATATTTTCACTGGATGATTGTTGCCAAGGCTACCGATGAAGGCTCCTGAACAATGAGGCTGTTTCAGAGAATCTTCAAAAGCTCGATTGGAATGTCAGATTAACAATGGCGGCGCTGAGCACAATGAGCGTCTAACTTTAGTTCATACCTTCGTGCATATCCAACTGTCCAGAGAGTAATTCCGGCAGGATTCTGCACCATTGGCGGAATAGACAAACAACGAGATCTGGATGCGAGAATTTGCTAAAAATATAACACAAAAGAGCATTGACCTCAAGCGGAATGTAAACACCGCGTTTATGTATCATAGTACATTTTTATATATATGCGTACATAGAGACTCAAAACGATTATTTCAGGATAATGGCTTAAAAATTAATTTTTCTATGCGGTAGTCTTTGTTTGGTGTAGAATAAATTCATTTTCAGCCACCTGTATCAAAGTTGAAATAAATTAATTAGAAACAAAGTGTGTGTATCTAATACATCACGAAATAAGAGTTCAATTAGCTGATGTTTACACATCAGATGAGATGCTGGAACTGCCGATGCTGTTAATGGCATCTCAGCATCAGTTGAAAAGCTTATGATACATGGCTGAGGGGCGCACAGGTATCAAGCCCGAGTCCGATCACTTGCTTCCAAAAGTTGGATTGGGTTTGGGCATGACAGAGTTGGGAGTTGACGCTTACACTAGTCTCACGTGCATCCAACGCTTGCAGAACCAAGCTGATTAATTCACGTTCATGAATCAACGAAAGTGGATCTATCGCTACGTATTAACTTACTCAAGGATCGATCCGCTAAAAGGAATGAAATATTTTTATATCGACGCGTCCTGCTTGAACAGAGCCATGCACGCGTGGCAGCGGTCGGCGCAGCACGGGTCGCGGCGTCAGTACCGCCTCAGTAGCGCACGAGACTTGGTTGGGTGTGTGTGCGTCGCTGTCACTCCTGAGCCGCCTCGCTATCGTGACTCCAGGCCGTTATTTACCGATGACGTCGCTTTTGGTTCCTCATCTATCCTGGGGATAGAATTACGAGCAAACCGAGATTCTAATATCATCTGTAGCATTCGGTTATTAATACTCACACTTGGCGCATCATAAGCAGTGTATCGTGATGAGAAAACATAGTTGAAGTATTGATTAGTGTTAGAAACGGTCTAATTATACACTACCTCGGCAGCGATGGTGATTTACAGACGAGGAGCATTTTAGAAGCTTAAAAAGTGCCCAAGTTTTCCTTAAAACCAAGAATCGTGTTCAGTTTCTTAACGTGTGTCAATCAAGTCTCGTTTCTTTGCGTACGGGAACCCTATCTTGTTTCGCTCTGCGCGTCAAACACCCAAAGTTTTTCTGTTAGTAATTTCTATTCTAATTTTTATCGCGTATCTTGCCCTCGAGGTGTCGTTGTTATAACGTATGAATCATATCGAATTTCCAAACGCGCACTGACTGACCGGACTTTCGGACGTTCCCCGAGTTGTGCGCATAAACTTGTTTCGTGCATTCCTTAGCGAAGAAAGCGTCACGATCTAAGCTGAGCCACATGCGAACCTTGAGCCAACGAGCTTCCTAATGTGAGGGTCGCTTGCTATGCTACACCACATTGCTGCTGCAGGCATTCGGCCTTCACATTTGAACTCACTTGTGAACCCCGAGTGAGCGAGTGAGTAAAGTTCTATCCAGCGCGTTTGTGTTCAGAAGCTCCTCAAGAAAGTTTGTGCTAAATAAAAAAAATATCAAGCTAAACAGAACCTATGCATTTTCCGTGAGATATATTACTTCTGTGATTTAATGGAAACTTATAAAGTAAAATTTGTTCGCAATATTCACTATTGACTAGAATTTGTGTTCCCGTAATCCAGATTTAGGACGCTCGCTATAGCCTCATTGTGAACTCAACTTGAAGCGTGGACTATTGAAGCGGATCAGCTTCATTCACCTCTGCTCATCTACCTTTCTTCTTAGCTTCTTTGTGTGTCCCCGCTTCTTCGTTCTGCCTTACACCTGAGCAGTCTCTGCTCTTTGTTACTTCGAGGCTCTTTTGTAAGCTCCTGAAAGATGCTCTCTAGACCGAAGCTATAGTTGGAACGAAGCGCTTGAATCTTTTGACGTGTAGGGTGTGGTGCTCCGGAACTCAAAGAGAATCGTTGTCAACTCCCTGCAACCAGTGACCAGGTGCCATAAAAAAGAGTTTAGTAATAATGAGATGGTGTCCTAGTGAAGCCAAGTATTTTTGTTTTCAATCGAAAGTGAATTTATCAGTAATTGTTTTTGCAGTCTCATACGAAGTACCTTGAAAATACATCAACAAAATGTCGCTACAGTTTTGTACTACATTAAGACTTTGCGTGAGTATTCTATTAGCACTCGCGTTATATAGTGACACGGGCGCAGCATGTCCTGCCCTGTGTTCCTGCGGAAAATGGAAAAGTGGAAAGGAGACAACCGATTGCTCCCAAGGAGAATTCACGAAGATTCCCGAAGGACTACCTGTTACCACGCAAGTTTTGGAATTGATGGGTAACAACATTGATATTCTTTATGATTACACTTTTCTGAACAAAAGTCTCGTGAACCTTCAGCGGCTGCATATGGCCGAATGTGGAATAACTGAAATTCATACCTTCGCTTTCGCACAGCTTTCTAATTTAATTGAACTTGATCTGAGCTCCAATAAATTAAAAGTCATTCCTGGTGAAGCGTTCGCCGGCTGTCCAGCGTTGCGGCAGCTCAACTTGAGGAGCAACGAAATAAGTTTTATAGATGCCGATGCCTTCACACACACCCCCTCGATCGTCACTCTGGACATCAGCCATTCTGTGGTAACCCGCGTAGCACCTGAAGCTTTCCAAGCGCTCTCGATGCTAGAAAGTTTGAAGTTGCAGAACAACAAGCTAAAAGAACTCCCTCGAAAAATGATAGACGGGCTCGCTGCTGTACACAATTTAGAAGTTCATGGCAACCCGTGGATTTGCGACTGCAGAGTCCTGCCCCTTTGGCGCCTGCTCATCCGACTCCGAGTTTCACATCCAATAACGCCCGCTTGTCATGTTCCAACGGCTCTTCAGGGCTCAAAGTTTGACACTCTTGCCGAGAAAGATTTGGCTTGTCCCCCTGAGATACTGCCAGGGTCTCGATTTGTCGAGGGATTTGAGGGAGAAAACACTTCTGTTGCTTGTCGGGTGTGGGGAGAGCCGGCGCCTCGTGTCCAATGGTACATTGATAACCAGGAAATAACGAATTTGGATCACGGGAGACTTGTAAGTCTCGTTAAACACAAAGGCGATGGAGATACTGTCAGTAATTTAGTAATTTCGGAAACCAAGGAAACTGATTCCGGTTTTCTACGTTGTGAAGCCATCAATCCTGCCGGGCGTGTCTCGGCAAATTTTACGCTCGCAGTAAAATCGCGGCCGAAGCCTGACGGGAGCTTCACGTCAATTCATGTGGCTGGCATTACTGCTGCAGTTTTATTGCTAATCATCGTTTTAATTGCGGGTTTTATTTTTTTCGGTCGGCGACGGTCGAGCACAACCATGACAGCTCAGGAGAAGCAAAGCGATAGCTCACCGTCGGCAGTAATTGTTTGCGCTTCTCCGAATCCAGTCCAGAAACCTCCAAGGCTCACAGAACTGACAAGTTCTAATTCTGCGGATCCTGACCTCATAAGTCACCTCGCTAACGGCTACCCTGTGATGAGTGGAAGCTCAGTAGGCCAGCCTGGAGATTACACTCGAGTCGAAGGAGATTCTCTCTACCCCAGCGGGATCTGGGATGAAAATAAAACGAAAGAACAAATACTGCATGAACATTTCAACCCAGGATACGTATCGTCTGATACTCCTCATCATGGACCGATCCATTCAACGCCAAATAGAAATGACAATTATATTGATCCCAAAGTTTTTGGATATCCTTCGGACTTTGGACTGCCTATTCCTGAAGCCGGACCACATGACTCTTCGCAATCTCAAATCAGAATGTCTAGTCCCTTACCAAATCCCAGCCAACTGTACGACTCTCGTCAGGAGTTGGCGCTTTACAACGATGCGTACGGCAACCAGCAAGACGTTTACCTTCAACGACCTAAGCCAAGTGGTGGACATGAGCTCAGTGCCATGTACGAAATGGTTGAAGTTGGAAGTCCTCTGAAAGTATCCATGAATTCTCATGCAAATCTACACGACTCTGGCCATCAGGATGCTTCACCCGGAAACTTTGACGAAGACTCATCTAGAGGAATCGATCTTGATGGTTCGGAAAGCACTCCATCGAGTTGCCCTTCCGGAGACCGACCTTGGATTCCAGGTTCGGCAGGTCGACCGGTCGTACCAATGGGCATACAGGTTTTGCCTCCTCTTCCGGCTAACAGCACATTACACCGCATCAAACCTCGAGACTCTCCCGACGAAGGGTATCAGGAGGGAACTGAGGTTTAAACTAGAAATGTACATAGATGTGTGTATAGTTTATTATTGTTTCGATAGCTTTATCAATGTCATGGAGGTACCATTGCAAAGATCGATATTAGTATTTATCTAGGACTTTGAAATGTCTGTGATTCATTATATTGTGTGTACGTGTGAAGTTCAATAATTACATTAGTGTATTGTAATATTATAATTTTAAATATTTAACCTAAATAACCTACGCAGCAATGCCTCTGAACAATGCGCTTATGCAATTTAAACTTATTTTATGAAGTCGCTTTCCACTGAAAAGGCAAACGCTCTTCATGAACCACTAAAGGCTCTAAGGAACTTCTTCTCAATCCAACACTTATATTTTCTGCACCTCGATTAGGTTTTATGGCATGGAAACTTCTCTGTGCTTCGTTTATCTTACATTTAGTTTTGAGAAAAAAATAACGAAAAGGTGAAATCAAATATATGTCAAGGTGAAGATAAAATTGATAAGTATGCAGTATCGTATAGAATCGTTAATATCCTCTAATAACATGCTTTCTTTCATGCAAAGTAATGAAAAGTATTGTTCTTTACCTTTTGTCGTTAAAGCCATGAAACGCTGAATGAAGGAAGAAGCCAGTAATACAATTTTCATGTTCATGGTTCTATGTTTTAAATATTTGATTGTATAATTTTCCAATTTGTTTTGTTTGAAACGCCTTTTGGCATCTTGTGATTACTTTCAATTGTCTGTGAAAGATTTGAATATTGATATACTGAAATTATTCGCAAAATACTCCTCTAGCTTTTATATTCCTGGAGCATAAGGCATGGAGATGTTTCCGAAAACGTATACATTTGTGTTCACTACAGAATAAAATTTGCCTATTTTTCGACGAGCTCTTCTGTTCCACTTGGAAAATTATTTAGAAAGTCTCATGCTACGAGCTTTCATTTTTCAACTTTACCGTGAGCGCGTTGGGTAAAGGATTGGAATCATTCTAAATACTTGTATAAAAAAGCTCCAGACAGCGTTTAAAAATGAATTATTTCCAATTCTGTTTTGTTTTCTATTTTATTGTATATCATTTCTAGAACTCACGTGTTGATTTTATATTCATTTATTTAAAAAATCAGAGATCCATGCAGCTACAGCAACAGTGCTCAGGAAAAAATCTCATCTGAACGAACGCAGTTTTTCTACTTGAAGTTATTTTAATTTCCAAGCATTTAATTGTTCGTTCTCCTCCCACCACCGGTCACCGTCATTGCCCAGCGAAGGAATCTATTTCCTCAGGTGACGTGGCCACAATCTCTGCAGAGCAGTGCGGCGGCGGCGGGTAACAGTAATCTAAATGCTAATGACTCTCAACTGTGCTTGTATCAGCCTCCTAGTAAAATTCTTACCGATTTAGCTGGCGCACTTGTCCTCGCGCGGGAATAAGCTCATGCAGGGTAGGATTCCTCTGGAATCTTGATTGCAGTGACTTTGCAAAGAATGCGCTATCTTTTACACAGCAAATTAGGTGTGCTGTTCACCGCTCTTGGTCAGTGATAGGCTCATAAAGTAAATAACAAACGAACAATGTTCTGTTTCTTGTCAGCATTGAATCCAGTTTTTATTGTTGAAGTTCGACTCCCAGTTGATAAAACCGGTGGCAGGTGTGTCCTTGTACATGTCGGGACGACCGACGCTTACAGTCATTCTTCCGGCCTCATTTCTCACGAGCGTCCACATCGTTGCAGCTTCCCGGCGTCATTTTTTGCTAGGTTTTTGGACCAGACTGAAGAAGTGCTTGATTGCTAACAAGCGCAATCTTCATTGGCTTTAGTTGAAGCAGTTTCGATTGCTTTCGTTCATTTTTGTTGGAATTTTAAAGTAATTATCTCTTTTGTTGGTAGAAGAGGAACTTGGTTGCTCTTGCTTCTCCGTGTTCTAAAACTGCTTTGCATCAATGTTTCAGCATCATTGGAACGACTCTACGAAAAAAATTCATACTAAGTACCAAACTTTCTTCAGTGGTACCAAAGAATGCAGAGGATACTCAAACATCCGGCATTCTTGATTAGAATCAAGTTTAACCTGGAGCGTTCTATGCTTCGGAGCTAGAAAGGGAGGGAGAGCTGTCATAGAGAAAGCTGTAGTACAAGAGGTCACTTGGTGCTACAGCAGCGGTCACTGTAGCTGTGGTAGAGACTCAGCGGTCCAGCGACGTGGCGAAAAAAAGTTTCAGGCTTCAGAGAAAGTTTCAGGCTTCACGCGCAGCTGTTGCAATTAGTACCGGAATTATGCTCATCATTTGTTGTAATCAAAGTGAAAATTATATTACTAGTGATTACATATTAACTATTTTTTATCTCATGTTTTTATTGTACTATTTCAAGCGTAAGAATTTTGCTGGCGACGTAGTGCGGCTAGAAGAAAGTTTTCATCTCTTTATCTTTTGATGCTCGCATGTCTTATCGTTTAGTAGCGATGACCCCGTTTACCTTTCTCAAATTTATTCCAAGTAAGGATAATTTACATTGATGTTCCATTTATTAGTTCATTTCAAAAAGTTTAAAATTGAATTCATTTAAAATTTCGAGAAAGCGTCAAAAGAGTAAGCATCATAGGAAACATTAATAAACTCAACGCTCGAAATTATTGTTCAATTCATTAAAACAGCAATCATCAAACAGTTATTAAGGTAAACAGTTATATTATCTCAAATTTATCCCAAATTTTACAGTGATTTGATTGATGCAAAGTGATTGTTTTTTTATTCTCTCCTTGGTGCTTTTCCAATACATTTCCCATGAGCGGCCGAGAGTTCTTTGTGTGGGAGCAAATGCAGCCCTCGCATGGAGCAAGGTTACTTCTTGTATAAACTTACCCTCTTTATAACCGTCGGCGAGTTGGAGACGGCCATCCTTCGGCCATCGATGACACGCGCATAAATAACAGACGACACGAGAGGCTCGCGTGTTGGGCTACTGGCCCTGAGTTATGGGAAGGCTTTGCATTGATTGCTGCGGATAATTTGCTTCTTGTCATCCGCTTGTATATGTTAAAAGCCTAGGACCTCATGCTTTAGAATAGTGCATTATGTGCACTAATAATTGTATTAAATGGGGTTCATACACAATTAATGTTTGAATTGCTGCCATTGTTCCTCGTTGGGCACTAAAATTCAGAAAAATATATTAATTTTACTAAAATACCTAAACGCTGTTCTGTTTCACGATTTCTTTGAAAATTTTCTTGTTTCTTGTAACCAAATGTTTCTCCAGTGCTATAGCTCATTATACCAAATATTTCATTCCAATAACTTCGGCATTATTAAAAAATTATTCTGGACCTTCAGATTGACCTCAAACTGTGTCAACATTAAAGAAATTATTTTTTAGCGATCTATGATAATTTTAATATTATTGTCCCTATATGATTTCAATCGCTGAAAGTCATTTCACCTCGTCACTATGTTTACTCGGTCAAGCCCTGCCCAGCAGCGCTGTTTACTTACGGGTCAAAACACACGCTGTTGCCCTGTCACTACCAACAAACTCTTACATTTTTAAGCCCTCTTACATTTTTAATCCAATATGCAGGGTGCACCAGAGGCTCTTAGTTATCCAGAACGACCTTTGATGGACATAGAATTACTGGTACAATTCCTGCTGATCTCCATCATCTGGACGTGCATTCCATATTAAATTCATACAAATGAGTGTTACGTACGATCGTAGCCAGCGAAGCTTCATTCATGCCATTATTGGGTTCATCGTAACTCTGATGGCAATTGTCATTCATTCTTCGAGTGGCAATAGGCAGCCTAACTACGGCCGCGTCCACACTCTATCCATACTCGAACTTGTTCTTCGTTTCTTCAAATTTGTACAACAAATTTATGAACTATCATGACTCAAATGGAACCAATCGTCACACTAACTGTATAATATCATTGAGATATCAGTGACCTTAAAATATAGTTAGAATGTGATGCATAATTAACCACTGAATTTACGTTGTTATTTGGTCTCGTTGTGAACACGTCACAAGCTTTCTTTGTAGCTTCTCAAGATGGCACTCGGCAGCGCCATCAGCGCGCGATAAGCTGCTCGTTTCCATCTCGTTATGGCCCTTCGCCCGGCAAGCCTTCCATCCAAATTCAAGATTCTTGCGAGGGCTTTTGAATCACACTGAATATTTTCAGTTTTCACTGTGTTCTTTACTCACCATTTATAGCTGGAAAAAGGCAAATTATTTGCAACTCTACATTAGTAAACTCAGCGACACTAAATGTTAGATGGGCTTTTTGGTTCAGTCGATAAAATGATGAAGACTTAGTCAATTAATCTTGATATAGACTTGGATTATAATCACTACAGCTTTCTTGCATTGACATCTGAGAAATTCCAACACCGAGACCTTAACCATAGGTTGGTCTATAAGAATAGACCTCCATCAGGTCTAAGTGGCAGGCCGCCCCAGGTCTCGTCTCCATCGAGCCAGGCGACAAAGACACGGAATAAGTCGTCGTCGTGTGGGAGCAAAATGACGACTAAAAACTGACCTACCGCACTGGATTAGACAATGGATGAATTCCTTAACTTCATTCATTTCATTGCAGTAACTTCACTGTGGCAAATGTTTTTTGTGAACGATTTTGGTTTGAATGTAATCCTTCAAATCGATTCGTTTGAAACATGTCCCACTCAAGCGATAATATTTCAAGTCATACTTTTGTATATAATAATTAAAAACTGTTTACATAACATCATTTAAGGTAATTACCTCGGCTAGGGTTTAAAATCGAGCAGAAATTTAGTAGTCAAACGATCAAAAAGCAGACACAGTAGCGCAGGTAATCATTGTAGTATCAGGTCGTCCAGGGTGAAGATATTCTTAGACCTGTGATCTGAGGGCCATTATTTTGATCGCCCTTAAGATTTATTGAAGCCCATAAAGGTTGCCCACCACACAACTAAAGTGGCTACGGCCGCTAGAGGGGCCATGTCTGCAGTGATGTGATAAAGAAATATGCCTAATTTTTGTTTCAGAGGCTAATTATTTCGATAAGAGGAAAAAACTTGTATTTTAAAATGCGTTAGATGAGAAACTTCGAAGAAAACTTAGATTCGGATGAATATTATAGAAAGGCGACTCGTTTCATATTCTCGAGGATTCTCATACCACGAAGATCGATGATATGATTAATGATGATGTCCAGTAATCGGTGATCAGATTCGACGATACCATTCAAAAAGCTGCGTGTGCTGAGCATGACATTGAAATATTATCTGATTTACATTTAAATGAACTTAGCGAAAAAGTTTGATTGCGGCAAGCGTAGCAAAAAATAGAATAAAAGTTTTTGGAGAACTTTCTCTATCGCGGCTGAAGTAAAATTGAAAGTTTCATCCGACTAATTTAAATTTAATGCGAATGTGATGTTCGTTAGAAACGAATGGTTGCTGTCGTTGATGAACCAAAAGATAAATTAAATAAATTCAAATGATCAAATATAAAAATAAAATTAGCTCGTCGATTTATAAAAATATTTTTTGTATCATCAAACACTTCAGAGTAAAAAAGTGTCCGCACTCTAAAAGATCTTTGTTACGTATATTCGTTTGGCGAAGGATTTGAATACACGATTTTTCGTTCAGTTGTCT